CCCCCCCCCCCCGCAGTCAGGGCATAATGGGGTGCTTCCAGGATTTCAAGTCCTTGAGTATTGGGGGAAGGGAAGAGAACATCACAGGGATGGTTTCATGGAGCTTTACGTTTTGTACAATTTTTGGGTTGAAAGACACCCCCTGTCCCCTGGAGCATCTCTCTTTCACTCATCCCACAAATATTTCCAGCATGCCTTATTGCACATCAGGCAGTGTAGCCCAAGATGCAGAGAGATTAAATGGCTTGCCTGACGTTTTTCAGAAACTTCAGTCCAAGCTTGGACCAGAAACCAGAGGCTTGAACTTCATGTCCAGTGTCCTTTTGGTGGGTTCTTCGTGACTGCAAAACAGAAGTCCACAGAGGCCAAACCTCTTTCCCCAAGGCACACAGCAAGTCAAGGGCAGAACCAAGGAGTCTTGAACAGCTAGGGCTTGGTTGGCCCACCCAAAGCCCTCATCCCCAAGGGCCTCTCCATCTGTGCTCTCTCTCCTCAGGTATGAAGAAGAAGTGGCCCTCAAGACCACGGCTGAGAATGAGTTTGTGGTGCTGAAGAAGGTGGGTGAGTCCTCCCACATGGGGAAGAGTGAAGTCTTAGATGCTGGACCTCTGAGACTAGCAACTTGCCAACTTTGCGGCAGTCCAGTCGTGGTGGCCAGGCACTCGACTCCCCTGACCAATGGGGGCCACTTGGTTGGCAATGCCCGTATGAGAGGGAGACTGATTAAGTGACCACTGTGGCTAATCAGCCAGACAGCAGCTCGGTGAGACCTCGGGCCCGAGAGTCAGCTACTTGGATGCTGCCCAGCCTGGGTGCCAAGGACGGCCTGTGGGTGGGGCGCACTCATGGCTCTGTGGCCACCACGTGACATGCTACATGGGCCAATCTAGCTTAGTAGTAGCAGCCTGGCATTTTGGGCTGTGATATTAGGCTACTTGCTTCAGGAAGGTCTCTAATTCTGGAGGAAAGAGAAAAAAGTCTGTCGAGGTCAGACTTCTCTCTACTCCCTATTTGAGGTGGCCCCATGGATGTTTCTGTGATAGGAGAAGAGTGGGACAGAACATGGCCTCAGGGCCCCCTATAGAGGGCAAAGGTCCAGGGGCCCTGAGTGACCCTTGTTCCACCCTTTCCCATGTGTGTCCACCAGGACATAGACTGTGCCTACCTGCGCAAGGCTGACCTGGAGGCAAATGTGGAGGCGCTAAGGGAGGAGATGGGCTTCCTACAGGCCCTCTATGAGGAGGTGAGTCTCTCCCCTTCTCCAGAAGAGCAAGCGAGGGAGGAGAGGGCAGAGGGTTTTTTGAGTTGTGGGTTGTCTTGGTCCTTTGGCTTTAGAAAGTATTGTCCATCCCTAACTCTTTTAGGACCTAAACATCCTTTCCTTCTGTGATCAGAGGAGATTTTTCTCTTGCTTAGGCTTCCTTTCAAAATGGAAATGGGTGATTACCTTCCTTTAAAATTATTTGTGGGGCGCCTGGGTGGCTCAGTCCGTTGAGCATCCTCTTGATTTTGGCTCAGGTCATGATGTCATGGTTGTGGGATCGAGTACCACGTCAGGCTCTGCACTGGGTGTGGAGCCTGCTTGGGATTCTCTCTCTCCCTCTGCCCCTACCCCATTTGCACACTTTCTCTCTTTTTCTCTCCCCCCCCAAAAAAAAACCCACACAGATGATTTGAAGGACTGTGATTCATTGCCTATCTACACAGCACAGCATGAAGTGGAGATATGACAATATAGGTGTGGGTATATAGGTGTAATAATATCTTATTAATTCAGGTAGTATGAAAAGTTCATTAGAAAACCCAGGACTCTAAATCTGTCCATTGTCTGGTTGATTAGATTTATGCAGATAGCTAGAGCTGCACTTCTGGAATTCTCCAATTTTATTTCCTAAAGCTTCAGGTGGGGATGGTTTTTTACCTACAGCAATGGGAATCAGAGGGGGATTTGGAGCTGAGGGCACTGGTTGCTGTCTCCTACAGGAAATCTACCTCCTTCAGTCACAAATCTCTGACACCTCGGTGGTCGTCAAAATGGACAACAGCCGGGAGCTCAACATGGACTCAGTGGTGGCCGAGATCAAGGCTCAGTATGACGACATCGCCAGCCGCAGCCGGGCCGAGGCGGAGTCCTGGTACCAAACCAAGGTGAACTGGAGGGCCGAGCTGCCCTTTGGGCAGGGAAGATAGCCAGAACCTGAAGCTTCTCTGGGAAATGCACCCACGCATTCAGAGGGGCTCCATCACAGGCCCAAGCAGAGCAGGGGTAGGAGACAGGACCACTGTAGAACAGCAGGCTGGCTCTTCATAGTGACGACCCAGCACCCCTCCAGCAATGTCACAACCATTGGCTGGTCCTGAATGTTTGTCTCCCAACCCACAGTGTGAGGAGATGAAGGCCACGGTGAGCCAGCAGGGCGAGAACCTCCGCAGAACCAAGGACGAGCTCAATGAGCTGAACCGCATGATCCAGAGGCTGACGGCAGAGGTGGAGAATGCCAAGCAGCAGGTCAGGGGGCGCTGAGACCTCGCTCGGTGCACCTGCTGTTTCTGATCTGTTCTCATGCTGCTTCTGATCTGTTCTCCTGCTGCTTCTGATCTGTTCTCCTGCTGCTTCTGACCTGCTCTCCTTCTGCTTCTGATCTGCTCTCTGCTTTCCTCCTGCCTTGAGGGGCTGCTGCTGTCTTTGGAGAGGCTTATATTTTAACCACCTGCATCTGAAGGACCGACAAGCACTGTTTGCACAGAGCATTGTGGGGGAGGGTTGGTCTGTCTACCTTCTCTGAATTCTGCTCCTATTTCCCTTCATATCCCTCCAAGGTTTCTTTCCTTTAAACATACCTTAGGCAATGCGGTCTAGTGAAGGTTGTGTTCTGCTGGCCCTCCCCCCACCTCTCCAGATGGATTTGAGGTGCACAGACCTGACCTGGTCCCACGCCACTCTGTTCACAGTGCACGCTAGCACCGTCTGTGCACCTCTGTAATTGAACATGGCTTGTCCCTCATTCCATTCCCCACAACCTCTCTGAGTCTCAATTTCTTCATCTGCTTAATGGGAAATAACCATGCCTGTTCTGACACGCTCAGAGTAACTGGGAGCAGATAGGCAACATCTGTGAAAGTGCGTTGTAAACCAACAACGGTAAACAAGTGTAAGATCCTATCACTAATTATTATCAGTCCTGTTCCAGCACTAGCATTTCCTCCCTCTAATGGCTCACTGGGGACTTGAGTTTTACAATAAAATTAAGAGGCACATACATGGAGGAAGAAAGCTCCAAAGGGCCATTATTTCCCTGCCTAGTTAATTTGCAAGTGGACAATAGAGGTGAAATAGGTTGATGGAGGCCATTGGGGACCCACTAGGCCCCCTTCTCAAGCTTCTCCCCTTCTCCCCTCCCTGACAGCGGTGCAAGCTGGAGGGCGCCGTGGCTGAGGCAGAGCAGCAGGGCGAGGCAGCCCTCGGTGATGCCAAATGCAAGCTGGCGGGGCTGGAGGCCGCCCTTCAGAAGGCCAAGCAGGACATGGCCTGTCTGCTCAAGGAGTACCAGGAGGTGATGAACTCCAAGCTGGGCCTGGACGTGGAGATCGCCACTTACAGAAAGCTGCTGGAGGGCGAGGAGAGCCGGTGAGGACAGGGCTTAGGGTCTCTTCACATCCCCACTCAGGGCTGGGGGACTGCCTTGACAGACTATCATCCTCCAGGCAGAGAGTGTTCAAACAGGGAAAGACTCCAGAAAGACTCTAGAAATCAAGAAGTCGAACCATTTTCCCATTTTCAGATGGGGAAACCGAGGCCTAAAGAGGGGAAGGAACTTGTTCAAGGTGACAGCTAGGTAGTGGCTATGCTAAAATTACCGTCTCCGGTGATCTTTTCCCTCCCACACTGCCCCTCCCGATGCAACTAAGCTCATTCCAAGGCAACTACTTTACCCTGTTGACTGGAAAGGGGTTTCTGCAATCACATCACAGTGGATTGTAAAAGCTGGAATCATTCAGAGGACTTGCTAAAGGCCATTTGACTTGGCGTGTACAGACAAGGAACCTTATAGTCTCGTGTTCAGGAGCAGCAAATAGAAATGACCAGCACAGGGTCCTTGCTTAGTAGGGAAAGGCAGGGGCAGCATAAATCGGGCTCTGCTGACAGTTTGAGCCAAGAACTGGGGCAAGTGAAGTCAGCAAGGGAAGGAGCATTGTGGATTTGCACCTGGGGTAGTGACGAGCATTTAGCCTGGAGGTAGCCACATCGTTACTGCCTCCTAGCTGGGTCCCATCACGGGGGAGCAAGCTAGACTGGGGGGGAGGACAGTTGCATAGAAAGGTTAAGATCACAGGTTGTGAGCCATCTAGACCACCTGGATTCACATCCCAGCTCTGCCACTTACTAGCTCTGAACCTCTGGGCCTCAGTGTCCCGATCTGTACAACAGATAATCATAAAACCCAGCACTGTATGCTGTTGCAAGGATTAAATGAGTTAGTGTGAATGGAAATCACCAGTAGGGGCAGGTTACGGTCAGAACAAGAATCTCTCTATCCAGGGTAGCCAGGCAGGGCTGTACCACAGAGAGGCTCCTTACTGACCAGGTTAGCATTAGAAATCTGACGTGTGTTGCCCCCTAGGCAGCTGGCCATGCTGCTGGATTTGTGTCACGCTTGACCAGAGGAGGTAAACTCTTCTGTCCGTTTCCTCGGGACTCCGGGTGAAGCCACCAGATTGATCTCCTCCTTTTACACTTAAGCCCCTGGCCCACTCATCAACATTCAGTAAGGCACTCGGCATTTGCGCTGTGAAACTTACTTTCATCATCACCATCATCATCACTGATGTATTAAGAACTCAATTCTGTAACGCATGAGGCACTGTCTCCAACACATGAGATTTTACAAGATGGTTGGGTGTATGCAGCTTTGCATATTGAGGCCACTGACCTTTTGACAGATCTTCTCTTCTTGGCATTTAACAAGTGTAATTGGATTACCCAAGTAACCCTCACTGCAGAAAACACAGAAAATGAGAAAACAAAGCAGCCGTAATCACTCAACTTGGTGACAGCTGCTGCTAGCATTGTGGCGCAACAGGCGCCATGATGGGCATTGGCTAGAATCTTCTGGAAGGGCACAGTTCCAAGGCTGTGGCAGGGTCAGATTCACGTGGTGGGAGAGTGAGCCCAAAGCATAGATCCTTGCTGAAAAGCTGTAGTATGTTGAAGTGCTCAGTCGGGCAGAAGGAATCAGACTGGAGATTTACTGGAGGACATGGTTTGAAGCTGGGGGATAAAAAAAGAGGGTGATGTAGAAGAGAAAGTGCAGGTGGGCGTGAGGGAGGAGGGACCCACGGCAGTGATATAAATGTCTCATCATCAATGAGATGTTCATAATGTTAGTAGCAAACACAGTGGATTTACTGTGTGCCAGGCTCTACCTGTAGGCACTTTGCAATGTAGAGCCTGCAACAGTGCTGGAAGGTGGGTATTATCATCCCATTTCATAAATGAGGAAACTGAGGTACAGAAAGGCTAGGTGATTTGTCCAAGGTCACCCAGCTAGTGATCTGGCTCAGCCAGATTTGCGCCCAGGACGCCAGGCCCTTGACCACCATTCCCTCCTGCCCCCTCTGCATGTATCAAGTCAGATAGATATCCGGGGTAGCATTTAAGCTCGTGGGATAAAAAAAAAAAATGGCTCAATTAGCATGCTAGGCAAGCTTTTTCCCACCTGAAGGTGTCCCAGTTAGGCAGTGGCTGTTCCCATCACCTCTTTGGCCATGCTGGAACTTCCAGCCAGGGAACAAGGTGGATAACCCCACTGCACCCCACGTGTACCTTCCGGTACACCACATTTCCATGGCCGAGAAGCAAACAAGGCATATAAAGCGGCCTTTGGGTCCTGCAACCTAACGTTCCCCTGTCCTTTTGGGGTCCCTGGGAGCAGTGGTGACACTGATGCTCTCTGTGGTAGGTGGGCAACATGTCCCCTCCCCTCAGCCCTGCTCTCTTCACTCAGGATGGACCAGAACAGACCTGCTGCAAGAACAGAGGAACCCCATTCTAAATGTTCACTCTCTCTCTCTCTCCTGCAGCTTGTGTGAAGGCGTGGGCTCCGTCAATATCTGTAAGTTGGGTGTGTGTGTGGGCATCGTTCTTTTGGGTGTTAATATTGGGTTGCATCTAATCGGTGACTGAATCTCTGTCTGTGGGGCACCGGGCAGGGGAGATGTGAGCTGAGGTCTCTGGGATCTGGACAAATGGATGGTCCAAAATATTTGGTCCCTACGTGGAGCCATCTGGAATATCCGTGAAGCATAAGTGAATGACTGGGGAAAGTTCTGCCCCACTGACTGGTTCTGCAAAATTAGCTCAAGTCTTTCAGTTACACACAGGATACTCTTCAAGTAGCACAATATTTTAATAGGAAGAAACATTTTTGATGTTTATTCTGACCGTTTGGGCCCACTGCAGGCAACTCTTTACCTTGAATAATCCAATGTGTACACAGTCCCTAGGCTAGGTATCTATCTGTTCTCATTTTTCCAGCAACCATGTTTCTAGATGATTCCTTCACTATGACCCATCAGTTTTTGCCCAAAGATTGTATAAACACATCTCAACATTAGTCTGGTTCAAGCAGAGTTATGTGTCCAATTTGGTAACCACACTCCTTCAAGAAGCAGATGGCAATGGCTTTGGATTTGCCGGTAGGTCTAAAGATTCATGATGCTGATCCCTCAGAAACATGAAAGTCAATCATTGGTGGCAAAAGGTTTTGGGTCATGTCGTGTCGGGGATGGAGGAGAATTCTGACCCAGTGTCTCCTCCCGCAGGTGTGAGCCGTTCCCAGGGTGGCGTGATCTGCGGTGACCTCAGTGCCACTGTCCCTCGTGGCCCAGGGGTTGTGGCTTCCAGCAGTGGTGCCCTCTGCTCCCCCTCTGTAGTGGGGGCCTGCTCCGGTGTGAGATCCGTGCGGTTTGCATAGTGGGCAGGGGACTCCGGCGGGTGCCCCCCTCTGATAGGGGCAGGGGTGGGGAGCAGGAGGGGAAAATCATTTCTCTCCCAGACCCCCATGCCTGTTTAGTAATTTCCCCTGGCTGGAACCCAGACTGTATCCCCAGTTTTCTTCCTATTGCAGTTATGATTTACTCTTTGTGTGCAAACCCTGGGTGTTAACATTACTGCCACCTCTGTTAATTCCCCCTTCCCTGTGGTCCAGGAGAGGCATGTAAAGGCTTCTTGATATAAGATGCTCAGCCGCTTTCTTCCCCAGCTAATTTCAGGTTAGCAAACCTTTTACTAAGTCTGCTTACTAAGTACTGGCCGTGCGCCAGGCCCTCTGGGCAGGGAGCCAGGTAGAAGAATGGCGATGGGTAGGTGCACCTGTGCTTTGCCCCCGGATGAGGGGCGGGGCATGTCACCTCAGCACTGAGGGAGCAAGTGGGGTCCGGGAGGCCCCTCACACTCTGAGAGATTGTGTGTTCCCAGAAAGACCCCCAGCTATTTGTACATCAGGATGGAAAGATTGACTGAAGCTAACAGCGGAGGTGTTTATGGTTGGCAGTTTGGATTTTTTTTTTCTCTTTTTTGTATTTGGGTGATTCCTGTTATGTCTCTTTCTTTCTTTGGGTGTGCGTGATTAAATATCGATGGCAACAAGTTTTCTCCCAGCAAACAAATTAATGCCTGCCTCCTTTGTGGTTTTCCCAGCCCCCTTCAAAGCCTTGACCTTCTCAACGCTTCTGCAAATGTGGTCCACAGACCACCACATACATCAGGGTCACCGGGATGGGGGTGAGGGGTGGTGGGGACTTCTTAAATAAGCACATCCTGGGCTCCATCCAGAACTCTTGAATCCGAAGTTCTAGGGATGAGCCCAGGAATATGAATCTAAACAAGCTCCCAGGTGATTTCTGTAGGAACTAAAGTTGAGAACCATTGGTTTGTGTGCGCAGACAGAAGAAGGTCAGATAATTCTGACCGAGGAGCTGACTTCCTCTCTGATTCTCACAGGATCAGAGTCATCTCTTTGCATTTCTCCTTTGACCTTGCCAAAAGGTCGGAGCCAATCTGAGTCACCCAGGCCTGGGTGGGGTGGAGGGAAAGCTAGAAGAGGGGCGGAGACAGGAGCCTTTATCCACAGGCACCTGCTAAGTGGCACACAGCGTATGTATTTCATTCATGGGTCATGTATATCGTTTGATAGATAAGGAGGGTAAGGCCCAAAGAAGTGAAGCAACTTTACTAAGGTCACACAGCTAGTCCAGCATTCAAACTGAGGTTCAGGGAATGTCAAAGTTCATATTCATATTGCAATACTCCACTGTCTTACCCCCAGTTGTTCCTTCAGACTAAGCGTCTTGGCTTATCGCAACACTCCTGGAGGAGGCATTCTAACTGATCCTACTTGCTAGTCAGACCCTTCAGAAATAAGACACGAAGATGACTTAAAGGAACCCCCTGGAACCATCTGTAGGAACAACTCGCATAGTCTTCTCTCCAAGAATCTTGGACAGATCTTATTATGGGGCAGTTAATAACAGGCTAATTATGTGGGGACCCAGAAATAAAATCCAGACCTCTGGTTAGAGGACATTTTCCCTGACGGCCTGAACGGGGCAATTGACTGGGGAACTCTGTCTCTGGCCTCTTCCTGAACTGACAGTCCCCAACAAGTCCCACCTGGGGAAGTCTGTTTGGAGTCCCTTCTGATGCAAGGGATGTCCCCCTGATGACGTGGAGAGAGGGGTTTCTGATGGACAAGTTTCTTTCATTTGATTTATAGGAAGAATTCTACTTCTTCCACTTTATTTTATTTGGGATTAAAAAAAAAAAAAGATTTAAATACAGCCTGACCGGGCAGAAGATATTTTGCCATAAAGAATATACACTTGATCTTAAGACATAGAAAAACCTTGGAGCAGTTCTCTGGGCAACGCAGTCCTTCTAATGCCTTCAGAGTCTGTCCTCTGGGACACACGTGGGCCCCGGAGAGGACCAAGAACTTTCTTAGTACATATATATGCTCCCCTAGCCTCTGCCTCCTGGCCTTGGAGCGTCCCGCAGGGGCTGCCCCCTGGCACACCACGGTCTGGGGCCCACCAAGTTTGAGTGGAGGTAAAATCAGGTTCAAAGGGCCACTAGATCTGCTCTGAGGAGGAAAAGGAGTCCCAAGTGGCAGAACAGGGGGTGGGAGCGGGGGTCTGCCTTTCCTTTCTGGTGGTGGTGGTGGAGGCCTGTGTACACATTTTCGTGTCCCTGGTGTTTTCTCCATTAAAAAAAAAATTTTTTTAATGTTTACTTATTTTTGAGAGAGAGACAGAGTGTGAGTGGGGGAGGGGCAGAGAGAGCCGGAGACACAGAATCCGAAGCAGGCTCCAGGCTCCGAGCTGCCAGCACAGAGCTCAAGGTGGGGCTTGAACCCACGAACCGCGAGATCATGACCTGAGCCGAAGTCGGACCCTTAACCAATAGAGGCTAATAGATGCCCCTGTTTTCTCCGTTTTTAATGCGAAAGCTCATTCTTCTGAGTGCTGCCTCTATCCCGCTCCATCCCCTGGCTTGCCACCTCCCACCTCTCACTGCCCCCATCCAACAGCGCCAGGAGAGGAAGAGTGGGCCTGTTGGGGGACCCTTTGGTTTTTGAACAAAGTGGGAGTGGGCAGGGATCTCCAGGGGGCCCAAAGGGGGTGTGGTGAGGATTGGAGGAGGGGCAGCAAAGTGTTGTGAGGCACTTGTGAACTCAGCCTCTCCCCAGTGCAAGTCTCCCGACCCCAAGAGAGCAGAACCTCGTTAGATGTCCTCGCTGCTCTAGTTTACAACGAACAAAACACTCAATACAGTGTCTTCTAAGAGTCCACGTTCCCAGAGCGTGGCAGTGGCATGCAGATGCGGACAGGGGGTAATTCCCCGATAGCCATTTCCAGTGTCCATTACAAAGACTGATACACTTAGCCATTTCCTTGATCACGTGGTGAATTTACATATCTCACTGTGCGTCTGTTCAGGTGAATGATAGCACTCATCTGTATTTCCTGGGATCCCAAAGACCGAAAGCAGGGAAGTTGGAGATACTGGGCTGGTGGAAGGAACTGACCTGGGAGTGAGTGTTGTGAGGCTGGTGCAAGGGGAGGGTGTTTGAGACTGGGCAGAGGAGAGCGTGTGGCCTCAGAGAGCAAAGGAGAAATGCCAAAGCCCAAACTGACTGACTTTTTTGGAAAGGACTATAATCCATACTTCCATCTTCTTTTGGAGACTCTTGTATTTTGAGGGGGGGGGCATTGACTATTTGAATAAGAGTAGAATACAAACAGAAGGTCTGATTTTGGAGTTTCGAGGGGAAAGGAGCCCAGGAAGGAACTCTGGAATCACCTACATGGGCCAACTTTATTGTTTGGGCCACTCCCTCTGGAATTTACCTGATCTCTTGATTTCAGACCACTTGACTTCTCCTTAAAAAAATTTTTTTGGGGGGTGTCTGGGTAGCTCAGTCAGTTAAGCATCTGTCTTTGGCTCAGGTCACGATCTCAGGGTTCATGGGTTCAAGTCCCGCATCGGGCTCTTCACTGACAGCGCGGAGCCTGCTTCTGATCCTGTCTCCGTCTCTCTCTGCCCCTCCCACCTTCCCTCTCTCTCTCTCTCAAAAATAAAATAAACATTTAAAAGAGTTTCTTAATTTTTTTTTCTAATAATCCTTTGATTATATCCTTTGCTTTGTTCTTTTATCAGGATAGGGCTATGGGAGCCACAGAATCCTTTGAACTAGAGGAGTTTGCTCGGCATTTTTGCTGTTGGCTGCAAGGGAAGGCTGGGGTGGGGAGGGGAGGTTTCATTCTTATAAGCACCGGCAGCTCTGGCTGGCTGAGTCAGTTGACTGGTCTTTGCACACAAAGCACAGAAACTTATTAAAAAGCTTGTTAATATCTCCTAGTTTGTGGCTGTTTGACTTTTTCAGTGCATAATGTCCTATTTTGGGGCTAATCAGATTTGGCACCTTAGTTATGCTTGGCCCAGACCTATGGTAACATCAAGGTGTTTTCCCCAAGCACAGACTCGCTCGGGTAACCCAGAACCACAGGAGCTAACAGGATCAGAGAGGGCTCATCGCACAGACCCCCGGGGCTGATGCAAAAAGCATGGGGGCCACTTCCTGCCCGATATCTCACTGAGACACGGCGGAATTCACACTCAGGTTTTGATTTTCGGCCCCTGAGTTTTAACCTTTCCTGTGGATGAATGATGTGCCCTACATTGAACGTTGCCCTGTTGTAGTTATGAGCATGCCCTTGAGGCCCAGGGAGGTGAGTGCAAGGAGGGAGGCCAGTGGGAAACTTGGAGGAGGCCTGCCCAGTGTCAGCGGGCAAACTTCAGATGGCAGCAGCCTGAGCACTCAGAAGGGGCCGGCCGCCTGCTCAGTGGATCTGCAACCCTTTGGGTCTGAAGTGAGCATTCGTCAGAGCACACAGAGCCTCAACTTCTCCTCCCAGGGAAAGACTGGGGGGTGGAGGAGCAGAGGGACTGGCAGGTGGGTATGGTGATAGCCAATCTGTTTTCCTAATGGCGACATGGAAGTGAGTCCACATGGCTTCTGCTCTACCAGCTGCCTGAGTTCATCCAACCATCCCTGGCCTGACATATCCTGGAGCCCCATCCTGGTACTTAGTTGGGGGTCAGAGCTAGGAGGAGATCCTTCCTGCCCTCAAGGAACTTTTGATCCAGTCTCCAGATACACGCAGTGACCTCCCTGGCCCTGAGTCACAAAGTCAGAACCAGACATCCTCGGAGTGGGAGACGGTGTGGGGCAGGGGTAGGAGGGTGGTGTGTGGGGGATGGAGGGTAGAAAGGGCGAGAGCAGAGAGCACTGGGCAAAGGGAGGAGAGGTGTGGGATGGCCTCTGTGTCCAGGCAGGACGGTCAGGGGTGGCTTAGAGGGTGGGCTTGTCTCTGTGGGATGGAGCTGGCATCTGGGAAGATTAGCACTGGGAAGGGCCAGGTTGCCCAGGGCTGAGCAGCAGGTGTGGAAAGGGGAGAAAGAGGGAGCCTGCGCTTAGCATAAGGATCACAAGTGCATGCTGGGAAGTGGTCTGAACCAGGTGGCGGGAGGTGAGAACAATGAATTTGGGGTGGGATTCTGGCTGCTGGGGGCCTGGTGGGTGGGGGCAGAGAGCAAAAGGCCAAGGGGGGAGCTGGAGCTGTGGTCCAGGCCTGACTGGACTGAGGAGGAATGAGCTGGAATCAGGCTGTGGAAGTGGAGAAGAGGCAAAATCACTGGAGGGCTAGGGAAACGTTGCTCTGGGGCTGGAAAGGATTGGCCCCCTGGAGACCGGGCTGTCTCACGGGTGGGGGTGGGGCGGAGTCACTGTCATTCGCAAGACTACATATCCTTGCATGGAAGCAGCATTTATTGAAACACAGGCTGAGACAACCCAGAAGGCAAGGCACCCACAGACAGTCGTAACAAGAGGGAGACTCAGGAAGTGGCCTCACCTTCTCCATCCCACCGGCTCTGCATTGTACAGACCCCCCCCTCCTGCACCGGCAGGGGGAGATCTGGAACAACCTTGGTGTTTTCTTTGAAATGTATACTGGTGCAATGAATAGCAAGACCTGTCCCAAGTCAAAAAGATTTCCCCTCTGTAATGGGCCCCTCAACCGGGAGGTCCCCTGAGGAGTTTGGCTGGGACAGGTTAACCCGAAGAAGGCAGTCAGTTAGAGAGACAAGCAAGACTCAAAGGGAAATAACCCTTGGGGCAAGTGCTTCCCGCAGACCTCCCTGCCAGGAGGGGGTAGCTGCTGGGAGGGAGAACTTGGTCTCAGATTCTCAGGTTGTGGGACACTTGGCTGGATGTTAGCCTCACTCCTTGTCTCAGGGGAAGGTCAAGCTCCCATGAAGTCCAGCCACCCTGGGTGATTGGTAGTGTCCCATAGAGGTCAGAGAATAATACGGGTGGTTTGGCCCCGGGGTATTTTGGAATCAGATTGGAGGTATGGGAAGGGCTGGGAATGACTCTCTAACTGAAGGCCGGAGGAGAACCAGGAAACAACTCCCTAAAACGAGCAGGTGGCAGAGCGCGGCCGAGGGTCTTTCCCTCTGTAGGAACATGTGGAAGATTCCGGAAGCAAGCACACGATTTCCATTCACACACCATCCCGCGCTCCGGGGAAGAGAACGCAGGCGGCCGGGGACTCTACGCAAAGCGGACAGACCGGCTGCTCCCGCAGCTGAAGCTGGCGGAGCGGGGCTGGCAGGGGGCACAGGAGTCGGGCGCCATCACCGTGATGCTGCCTCCGGTGGCCACGGGGCCAGAGGCAATATGGCGCCCCGGGGTGGTGCTGCATGTGAGGCCCCCGCAGGAGACTCCGCCACGGGAGCTGCTGACGCCTGTGGGGACAGAGGGGACCCAGAGGGTGAGTGGCCTGCCCTGACCTCACCAACGAAGGGACTTCCGCATAGCAGGAGCTTCCTCCTCCAGAAAGAAGTTTACTGGTTAATGACTGAGGTCCGGCTCCTCTCAGCATCTCAGTCCTTCTAGGGGGCTGGGACAGGGAGGAAGCAAGGACCCCCATCCAGAGGGGCAAAGCTGCCTGGCCCTATTTCCATGGCCTGCAGTTCACATCGCCACCAGTTGAGGGCGCTCAATGCGTCCATCCCTAACTCCGGAGGAGCTCCCTAGTGAGGAGCCCGCGGAAGAGACAACCCCCTCCCTGTCGGGAAAGCATTCCAGGTTCAGCTTTGCCCGTTCACAAAGCCATTTTTTTGGAGGATGTTCAAGCAGATACTTACAGACATTCACGGAGCCCACACCTTCACACAGCCTGTGGGGAAAGAACACTCGGTGAGTTCTGGACACGGAGCTGGAGTCCTTGAGGCAGGGACAGAGAAGGCCCTCCTGTGTCCGGATCCTGCCCCCCGAGAGGCAGGGAGGGCTCCCCACAGTCTACGTTTCGCAATCACCTTCTCTCTCTAACCGTTCTCTGAGCACAGAGACAAGGCCTTCTGATTTCCAGCAGAGGTGGGCGCCATGATGAACTCTGCCGGCTGCCGCCAGTCTGAGCCACCCCGCACCCTTAGTGCTGGTCAGGCTCACAGGAAGGAGAGTCCAATCAGATGCAGCAGTGTGTGTGGAAGGGCTTTGTGCCAGTGAAGAGCTAGTACATACGGAGTGCATTGTCCTTATGGTGCCCGAGCCCCGTGTAGGAAGCTTCTGGAAAAACTGGGTTTGAGAGGCACATGACTTGGCCACACGTCCTGCCTCTTGCACTTATTACCTGTGGCCACGAGGAAGTCACTGCACGCTGAGCCTTATTGCCTCGTCTTTGGATGTGAAAAGTGACACCTACCTCATTGGATTGTGAAGATTACAAGGGGCACTTAGCACAGGCTGACGCATAGTAAGTGTCTGATAAATTAGGACTATTCTCAAAGCTTGAGCTGTCCTAGCAGTGGGTAGAGATGTAGCTCACACTTGGGCTGAGGGAAGCCCCCTCCCAGGGGACCCGGGCCTCCTATGGGCCAGATCCTCCTTAGCCCTACCTGTGCTCCTCGCCCTCCAGCAGCCGCCTGTAGGTGGCGATCTCGATGTCCAGGCCCAGCTTGGAGTTCATCACCTCCTGGTACTCCTTGAGCAGGCAGGCCATGTCCTGCTTGGCCTTCTGCAGGGCGGCCTCCAGCTCGGCCAGCTTGCA